TGAATTTAGTTTGCTGAGAAGTTGCAAGTTTATGTTCAGTAGATAGAAATGATTTTTGATGATTGGCTTTTACACCAGGGCAAGTTTAAGTTTGAGGAGGAAAGATGTAAAGTGAGATCTCCTATGTCTGTGAGTCCTGGTAAATCCTTATTGCTTATTGCAACTCCATAAGAGTAAAAGTAACTATATCTGGCCTTAAGCTGTGATTACTGAGACTTGCAGTTTGAGGAAAAAGGCTTTTGGGACTATAACTAATTTTGTTTTGAGTTTGATTTGGGGTATAATTGTCTGCACTAAATAAGTATCTGAGAGAAATGCCACAAGAATAGGTGGAGGTCTATTTAGAGGAAATGTGATTTATTTGGGAAAAAGCCGAGGGGACAATCTTAGCCTCAATCTAGGATGGGATCCTCCTGGCACAGTTTCCCCATTGTGTTCCTTTGGAAAGGAATGTTTTCCACCTGACTATTTCTGAGTCTGGCTATAAGATGGAACAGATACTGCATGACTGGAGAACTGCAACTCCATCTGAATTTAAACAAAGCTAAGGATGTTTTATCCTGTCATACGTGATATGCCACCTGTCCTTGCTCTTTTTCCTTCTATAATAAGTTTCTATGATCAGAGCAAGTAGTCAGCATGAGACATAAGAAACGGATTAGATTATAGTCATATCTTAAACTGATTGTTGGAACTTGCCGGGACTAATGACTGACTGTTTCTGAGTCTAACTACAGGTGTCCTTAACTGAAACCTGGAGGACTTTAAATCTGGCTCTATGCAGTTTGCAGTTTGACATAACACTCTGTCTGGAGTTGACAGGAAGTTGAGGGAAATATTGTCCCCTTACTCTAATCTCTTAGTGACAAGTTTCTATAATAAGAAGGTCTTATAAGTACAGTAACAAATTTACTAAAATAAATGATTATGGAACATCTTAGGTTATTATAGAACTGGGACTAGTGTTCCTGTATGAGTTAAGGTTCGTTTAATTCTTGGTAATGGTATGGAGATAATCAAGAGCTTGTGAGAATGTTATTTTGTTATTTGGATAATATCATACTTGTCTAAAGTTTTGTTACCATTGATTAATAATGTTAAAAGAAGAATGGCTTGTGGAAATGCCATCAAAGAAACAAGGCATGACTAAAATTTTAAGATTTTATACATACTGTGTTAAAAATTAATATGTATGTACTGAAGCCTCTGATTAATTCCATAGTGAAATCTCATCCTCCTGGTGAGGAAATTAATAATGGATTAATGTGGAGTATAAGATACTAGGTTCTGATGTGAATTTCTTAAACATGACAATTGGCCATGTTTCCAATTTTGAGTCTGTGAAATGATCAGGGTTATAAAGATTAGAAATAGTAATTTAAAATTGTGTTAAGGTCCCTTTTATAGGAGAATGGACAGAAAGCTGGTTCCTACAAGAAGACAAGAAGAGGAAGATGCTGAGATGCTGTGCTGGAGATGGCTGGAGCAAATAGCAAGGACAAGAGGACTTCATTGATGATGTTCCCTGCCAGACAGCTGTATAAGAAAAGACTTTTTCATTCTTAAAGGGACAGTTACACTATTGTTTTCTTTTGGGTCTCTGTATCTGCATTTATGAAGGGACTGCTCCTTTGATTTGTCAATGTTTAGATTAATGCCTATATTTACTTAAAGGGGTGATATTTAGAGAGAGAGAAGAAAAAGAGCAGAGAAGAATTTGAATTATTTAATGTGATTGTGAAAGGTACCAAGAGTGCCAAGTGTTAAAGATATCATAAGAATGATAGTTTCTATATGTGATGATATGAAAATGCAATTGATGTTATCTGAAGTTTATAGTTTATACTACAAAAGTTATTATTGTTTCTAAATTGTATTATGTTTCTAAAATTCTTAGATTGTAAAATTTGAGAAGAATTATTGTCCTACTCCTGGTATGTCTCCCCACAATGCAACTAATTCGACCTAAATTCTTCTTCCTCCTGGGACAAGGAGGCAAAGATTTGGGGGTACAAGTATATGATGATTTAAAAGGAACAAGTGAGCCATTGATACCTCAATTGTTAGCATGAGAAATGCAAATGGATGGGGAGATACTTGGCCCCCTGAAAGGATCATAAAGGAATATGGACTTGCTACTTGGGCACAAGATGGGAGCTGGGGATATTGGACCCCGATATATATATATATATATATACATATGCTTATGCGGGACAAACCATTACAGATATTAATAAGGAAATTCGAAAGATGGCCCATGTTCCAGTTCAGACCTGGTCCTCTTCATTTAATACTCCCTGATGGTCCTGGTTTGGGAGATCTTGGTGGAAGCAGGTATTATGGTTTGTGTTAACAGCAATAAGTGGAGTCATACCAGTCCCAGTGTATGTCCCTTGCATGGTGCAATTACTACTACTGTACAAAAGACCCTCTCTAGAATGATTACATTAAAAGAACCTGTCAATGAGTCTATTAGATTAATGATATTAAGGAATCAAGGGTGGATGCCAGTCAATCAGGAGGAAGGAAAGCCTGATTTTGATGAAATAGCAAATAGGGAAACTGAAGAAACTTACCAGTTTTGGTGTGAGAAACTTTCAACTATGAAATGAGAGGGAGGAACTGTGTTGGACAAGTGAAAATCTCTCATGTGAAATGTAAGCTGTGCTCCAAAACGTAGTGGGGCTTCAGCATGAGCTAGGCCTAAATTTCACTTTCGTTTTTGGGGAATGGGGGCTGTGTACCAGCTGCCCACCCCTCCCTTGATTTGTACCTTAACTTTACCACACAAGGCAATCTTCTAGCTCCCAAGCATGTTTTGAGTAAAATGTATCTCTTGGGTTCTAAATATAGACTGTGAGGTCTCTTGCCTCAGCCAATGAGGATAAAGAGATTGAGACAAACAAGTGGGGAGGGGGGCTTTTTGGAGTGATTTGCCTAAGACTATATAACTGCTTGCTATTGTCTGTGCTGGGCCTCACTACTCCAGTCTGACCTGGGTAGGTGACGCCCAACTGTCGAGCCAGACTTGCTAGAATAAAACTTCTGTTTTCTACCTGGAGAAATCTCTGAGTTTCTATTTGAGTAAGTGGTTTAAATCCCACTCATGTCCAAAACCCTCCATCACATGGTAGCCTGCATTCTAGAAATGAGCTTCTTCCTATTTAATTAGGCTGAGCTATGGCCAATAAATACGTACAGACTTATACTGAAAGCTTTTCCAGCCTAGGAAGAACTGTCATTTCTAAGCTAAGATGAGAAAGACCATCAGAAGAGGATTCCAGTGTATGATTTACATATTTGAAAAACTGCTGTAACCAATTTCTTTAAGGTTACCAGAGAACTCTACTACTTAATCTAGTCCCTTGTTCTCCACAGTCATTCTACTTGACCTCTATGTAGCTTTTCACAATGTTGATCAAGCTTTCTCCTTCTAGAGATTTTCTCTTCCTTTAGCTTATGCGGCACCCTTTTGGACATGTCAAATAAGGAACTGATTACATTTCTCCTAAAACCTGTTCCTCTTCAAAACTTTCCTATTTCTATTGAAGCTAAAATTTTTAGTCACCCAGGCTCTTCTCTCTTCTTCAACCCCCAAAACCAATCAGGTGCTCTGTCTTGTTAGCCTTACCTACCTGACTTCTGCCTCATCTGTTCCCTCCTCTCTACTTCCAAAGCTCTATCTTTATTCAAGTTTTCATATTCTCTTGCTTGGATTACTTCAAGAGCTTCCTAATTGGTTTACATACCTATGTTTCTCTCCTTTCAATCTATCCTCATAATTCCCAAATTGTTATTCTGAAAACACAGATTTGATTACATCATCCCCCTAAAAAAATATTCTAGATCCTCTATAGTTCTTACTATTTTCTTCCTTAAGTTATCATGTATATAGTTATCCATTTACATTTTCTATCTACCCTGGATAGATTTCATTTGTACATAGTTATCCATATGTTGTCTCCTCATTAGAATGTGAGCTTTTTGAGAGCAGGGACGATATTTTTGCCGTTCTTTGCCCAGGAAAAGGAAAAGAATAAGTATTTATAGAGTGCCCACTACGTGCCAGGCATTGTGCTAAGCACTTTACAAATATTATCTCTTTGATCCTCACAAAATCCCTGAAAAAGGTAGGTGCTATTATTATCTTCCAGCTATTGAGGGTCTGAGGATAGATTTGAATTCAGGTGTTCCCAACTACAGGCCCAGTGCTCTATCTATTGCATTACCTAGATGCCTGGCATAGTGCCTGCCACATATTAAGTGCTTAATAAATGTTTACTGACTGACATCCACATATGTTAATATCAAGGACCCTTAACTTTCTTGGTTTAGGAACTCCCTCCACAAATGCAAATCCTTCCCCATCTAAAATTTCCTGAAGCTAGAAAGGTTTGGTGGCTTGTCCCTAGTCATCCAGCAAGTGTAGGAGCCATGCCATGAACCTAAACATTCCTAACTCCAAATCTAGAACCATATCTACTAGGTTATGCTGACTCTTAACATTCAGATATTAAGGAATTAACCAATGTGTGCTGGATTAGATTGGTTTAGGGGAAGGAGCATTAGACTAGTTAAACTGAGATGATTCCCTTCTCACAATTCAAGAACAAGGCATGAGGCTGTTGGTCGACATACTGATCTTCATCCCAAATGAGAAGCAGGGCCAAAGAAACAAGAACTTTCCCAAGGAGAGTGCATTGAGGGAGGAAAATAACCCCTTAGAAGTCTCTAATGTGGTGTTAAAAGAATTTCAGTAGAGAGCAGGTGTAGATAAACCTTCATGCCATGGTTTCACTATAGGTGATATATGGTAATTAGCATCACAGGAATTCAGAGTGTGGTATACCTCCAGATATCATTTTCTAACTTCATACCCTAGTTACAATCATCTTGGTTGACTTAAGCCTCTTCTGGAGGGCAACCATTAAAAAAAAAAGTCTCATATTCAAGAAAGATACTATTTGTAACAAAGTAAGCTGGTAACTTAGCTGGTTTACCTTGCGGTTCAACATCCCCCACATCAAAGTGTCCAATGTTCCATTAGCAATAAGATAGTGGATATTTACAGAACTGCATTGTCCAATTCGGTGAGCACGGTCTTCTGCTTGTTTTATATGTCCTGGATCCCAATATAACTCAGCAAATATGACATGAGTCGCTGCAGTGAAAGTTAAACCCTAAGCAATTTAAGCAAAAGAAATGGTGATTCTATTATGGCTAAGATACAAGCCTATCACACAGGAATGGCAAAAACATCTGGAAGGAAATCAACTTTGCTCAGTACCACAGAAAAATAGCATAAATTTCCAAATGATTGTTTGAATGAAAAGTTTATAGATTAAAATTTTGACTTTCATTTTAAGCATCATATGAAATATACAAAATTAATTTTAAACATCACACAGAACATACAAAATCAATAACAAGGTTTCACAGACTTCACAAAATCTTATAGGTACTTTACTAAGAATCTCTTTCTGCTTGAATACCTCCAGTGAGGAGTAACTCACTACTATTCAAGGTTCTACTTTAAGATAGCTTCTCTACACTCTTTACACCCAATGCTCCTAATTTGTCCTCAGGGGCCAAGTCCAGCCAATCAAACCTCTCTTCCACATAAACACCCCTCAAATCCCTTGAAGATAGCTTTAGTGACATGTCTATCTCCTGCTACCCCCAAGTCTTCTCTTTTATAGACTACCCATCCCTACGTTCTTTAACCAATTGTTGTTTGGCATGATATCAAAGCCCTGTACAACCCTGGTTATCTTTCTTTTGATATTTTCGAACTCATCAATGTTCTTCCTAAAACAATGGCATTCTGAATGAGGCAAGATATAGCTCTGGACTGATAATGCTAGAGTTCTAGAAGACTATCATTCCCACAGTCTGGTGCACAAACCCTGTCTTAACACAGCTAATCATAATTAGCTTCTTTGGATGCTATATCACACTGCTAATCCATGTTGTTTCAAGTCCATGAAAACTCACAGATTTATCTAGCCATGCCTCTTGTACATGTAAAACTGGATTTTGTTTTTTTTTTTAACCCCAACATAGGATTCTGCATTTATCTTTATTAAATTTCACTTTGTTAGATTTGGCTCAAACTTCCAGACCACCTAGATCTGTTCAGATTCTGATTCCATAATCCATCACAGGAGTGATCCCTCTCAACTTGGTGTTGTCTGCAAATTTATTTGGCCTGTCAAAATGTATAACTATTACTTGCTCTGGGCAAAAAGAAAAGTGATTAGAACATAAAAAGTAAATTGCACACAATTATCTAATAAAATAGGCTAAAATTTCTTATCAAGATATAATGGCATTACATACAAAATGTATAAATCGTGTGTGTGTGTGTGTGTGTGTGTGTGTGTGTGTGTGTAAAAACAATATGTACATATCTATTTATCTATCTAGCCACCTACCTATCCATTCCAGACCTCTGATTTCACTGGTGTGGGGAGCTCATGGTGAAAAATTGCCTATACTAATGAAGATTGACAGCTTCTCTGCAATGTATAATCTTAGAGAGCTGCTTAAAGCACTGAGAAGTTAAATGTGCCCAGGTTCATAAATGTGCCTGGTAGGGATCAGAAGGGAGTACTGAACCTAGGTTTTCCTATGTTTGAAGGCAGCTCTCTGTCTGCTCTATCATGCTGCCTCCCATCTATTTCCTTTTTATGAGTATAATGGGGCTTTGCTTCATGACCAGATTACCTATGGTACAGGCATCCATGTGAGAGATGCCATTCTGCCTTAGCCTATCATGTGGCTGGCGGCAGCCTCTTTTCTGTTTGCTCCATGGCTAGAATTGTACATGACTTTAAATCTACCCAACTTAGGCACAGTTAGTTCTCTTGCAAGTAGCATCCAGGAGTGAGGGTCTTATTCAGGCACAATGGGGGTACCAAGCAGTAACATAGGAGGAAGGGCTTCCTTCCCCTCCTAGTAGATAAGATGGCCTTGAGAAAAGAGCTTGGGGTTGGTCTGTTTTGTCTGTCCTTTTCAGTTCTAGGTACAGAGCATACAGTTTCCAAACCCTGGAGGTTGAACTTTGGGAAGCCTGGAGTCTGGAGATGCCAGGTCAGATGTTACAACCAGCCTAGCAGGGAAGCCCTGAGAAGCCAGGGTCCCATTAGGCAAGCCCATGGGAGCTTTGGACTATAATTTTGGCTAGACAGGAACTGAACTAAGCCGTGAACCTAATCTTTCTGCCACCCTCTGAGGCAGGATGAAGTATAGAAGGAATTAAAGTAAAGCTACTAGCCAGCCTGGGGCCTTTAGAGAGTCAGATTTAGGACAAGACAGTAGTTATGATGAGAATTATGATCACCCCATACCATCAACTAGCACAGATACAAAGACAGATGATCAACAGGTCATAAGATCAGGACTATTCTCCTAGTAGTTCTGTTAATCTTGGTGGTTTTAAAAGAAAAAGAGTGGAAGAATAACACACTAGGTGGCAGAGGAAAAATAAAGTTATGGAAAATAATCTCACATAACCAGAGTATGCAAGTACAAGTCTAAACAAACAAGGAAGAAGAGGTGGGGGGAGTGGCTGGCAACCGAACCTTGTTCAAACCTGAATTGGTTAAAGGAGGGAAGAATTCACACAGAGACACACAGATGGGTAAAGAAATACATTTCACTCAACATAATGGAAGATAAAGTATATAAGGGAGAAGGGGGAATTAAAGGGATGGTAGATTAAGAGGAGATTAGTCCTAGGCAAAATAAATTTTTAACTGAGTACGTACAAAAGTATTTAAAGGTTACCAAGAATTGGAATCTGAAAGGGTGCCCATCAACTGGGGAATGGCTAAGCAAATCATGATATATAAATGCTACCTATTGTACTATAAGTAATGATGAAAAGGATAGTTTCAGAGAAACCCAGGGAGACTTGTATGAATTGATGCAGAGTGAAGTGAACAGAATTAAGAGAACAATTAACAAAAGGACAACAATACTGAAAAGGCGAACAACTTTGAAAGACTTAAGAATTCTGATCAGCATAATCACCATCCATAATTCCTGAAGACTAATGATGAAACAGGCTATCCACCTCTTGATAGAGAGGTGAAAGGCTCAGAGTGAAGAATGAGACTTTATGAGGGAGGGAAAGATGGCAGATCTTTAAAACTGAATTTAAAAAAGTAAAGAAAAAAAGAACACATTTGCCAGATATAATACTATTTTTCATAAATATCTGCAGTCAACCCTGTTCTTATCTTACTTGGTGGGTTTTGTTTTTTTTTTTTGCAGCATGAGGACTCAATGGAAGCCACAAAGGAAAGAGGGATCTTTCGTAGTGAAAATATATTGATTTTGTATCATTTTTTTACTGATCTTATTTACAATTAATTGATTTTGTCCTATAACAGCTTAAATCATGGTTCCCTGTCTCTGAACTTAGATCAGAATTAAACTGGCTTGTAGTGGGTTAAGTTTAGAAATTCAGTTTTCTTGCCAATCACTGCTCTATTCTTGCCCCAAGAATTTTGCTGACCCAGGGAGATGCAGCTTGCCATAAATGGAAGTCAGGCCTAATATCTTTACAACACCAAGTATCCTTCAAGGATGTCTGGTTTGCTATCCAAAGAAGTTTGGGCAACTATCAAAATTTCATAGTCATATGAAGGAGAGAAGGAGGGGGATTGTTGCTAGCCCCCATTCCCAACTTCTAACCAATCATACTGCTCCCCACACTTCAGCTATGTAACCAATTATGTTGCCCTTGACCCCATGATGTCACCTACCCTATTCTGTTCTTTGATCTGTACTCCCTAAAACCTATAAAAGGGAACTGTCCTTTTGTTCAAGGTCTTTGGTTGGAAACTGAGGCAGCCACTGACCCTCTTATTCTCAGGATTTGTGCCCTGGGAATAAAATATTATCTTGCTTGAAGAAAACTTGCCTTTGTCTATATGTGTTGAATTTCACTGGCCACACTAGTACAGGGCTATGTGGCTATGAAGTCAACCTCTATCTACTATTAGAGAGTTTTGCTATTTAATTGGTGGCATAACCATTTCATCACTGCACTTCCAAGTACAGAAGTATTATATTTTATCTACCTTAAAGACATGAGCCAATGTTATGCATGTGTATGAATGATTCTACATATTTGTAAATTTCTATTACTTACCAGTTGTTAACCCCAATCCAAAAGATATACATAGTGATTTCCCACAGTTGTTCACACTAACCTTCTTGTTTTTATTGTGTTGTTGGCATTTTTTTTTAAAATAACATGAATACAAACACTAGCTGCTGAAATTTATAGTCTTTAAGATTTTCAAATTGCTCAGATATCCACCACCTTACTTACCTTCACAAAACCTCTGTGTTTCAGATACTATACAACAGGGCATCATTTCTATTTTACAAATGAGAGAACTGAAGGTAAAAAAAGTTAAGTGACTTGCTAAGAACACATGGCTGATAGATGACTGAGGCAGATTTCAAATACAGGTCTCCCCTGACTTTAAGTCCAATCTTCTTCCATGGATTTGATGTTGCTATTACCTGCAACTAAAGAGCTGTAGTAAGTTATTGTCCACTGGCAAATTAAGTTCTGTTACCTTTGTCTTACCTGGCCAGCAGCCTGAATGCTTAGGATAGCCACTCGAGTATCAGGATCCTTCTGAAACTGATTGACCAAATATATCCTTTCTGAAGAAGGAACATTTCCATCTATTCTAATGTAACGAACCTAAAGTTTACAAAGAAAATTGCAAAGTCAGGGCAAGTTCTTGCGGAACTAATTCACATAATGAGACCAACATTTTTCTAATACTTTATAAACTAAACATAGTTGATAGCTGACATATATTCACATATGATTTCTAAATGACTCCCAAATGTACACATTCAGTCAACTGTCTACTGAACATTTCCACTTATATGTCTGTTCTACAATTCAAGTCAACTTGTCAAAATGGTATTTCAACTTGAACCTGCCCATTTTCGAAATTCCATTTCTGACAAGAGTGCTAATATCTTCCCAGTGACACTCAGATTCATAATACTGGCATCTTTTTTTGACTCTTCCTTCTTCATTAGCCCCCTAAATCCAATCACTTAGTCTAAGTCTATTCTGGACTCTTCTCTCTTTCACAACTCCCATGTCCAATAGTTGCCAAATTCTGTTGATTTCACATGTACATTTCTCATTTCTCTCTCAGCTCAGGCTCTCTGAACTTCTCCAGCTCTACCTCAACAGCTTCTCATCACTGAAGAAGGCTCGGCCCCTTCCTGTGATTGATGAGCTCCTCCTTGGAACTGTCATTTGAGGAAGTGCCTAAACCAGCCATGTTCATTTGTCTCCGAAGTCCACTCCTGACTCTCTGGTCCTCTCCATATTCACCAGAGAAACTTTCTCATTTTGGGAAGATGCCTCTGCCACTTGCTCTGATTCATGAGGTCCTTTCTGGAAACATCTGAGAAGTGTCCAAGATAGCTATACAATATATATGTAGATAGCTAAACAATTCACCATAACATGTCTAGCCTGGTGATAAGCCTCTGAATTTAGGATGGTCCTTGAATCACATACATTTATTTTGTCACTGGGCCTATAATTAAAGTCCTTCCAATTAGAAGAATTTAATTTCCAATTAGCATAATTTTCTCCATAAGATAAACTCAAACAAACTGTTATTAATAAACAATCTGCATCAGAAGAATTTAGAAACAGTTTATGTAAAAACTAAACATACCTTGCTTTCTACAGCTGCTTCTGTACAAGCTTGGAGCATGCTTAAATGATGAGCAAAAACTAAAAATTTAAGCGAATCATTCTGAAGCATCATTTTGATATAGTCCTTTGTTGCACCTGCCTAAATATAAAATACAACATATAATTAATCTCATAAAAATTATTACAAAGAAAATCCAGCCATGTTTTCTCATACACAAATGAAAAATCTCTAGAGAGGTCAGGGATATTCTAAGAATTAACTGATGTGAACTTTACGATTGTTAGATGCTCTTGTTAGCCTTTAAGTGGCATTGAGAAATGTCATATTTGCACATGTAATATATATGCTTTTGGGGCCATATGGGTACAATTCTTCAGAGAAACATGCTGTGTATACAGCATTAGGGAAATTACATGTTTTTAACTATAAGAAAATCAATTCAGTGAGAAAATTATTGTGAGATTAAGTGGAGAAACCCAATAATCACAATTTCCACACACAGTAAAACTTGAAAGCAATGTGGCTTGTTCCACAAGCTATATCTTGTATTTCCAAATATTCTAAACAGTAGAAATCTGTAATCTAGACATATAATGCCTCAGAGAAGCATGATTAAACCCTCACAAAACAAAAATTATAGTTTTAAAAATTCTAGCTATGTTGTCATTGCAAACAGACTGACTTAAAAGTCAATAAATTGATTTACTTCATTTTTTGGTAGGTCAAAACCTGGGATTTAATTTATATAAGGAATTCCTCATATGGAAACTTCTTCCACTCAGTCTGGCAACTCATCTGTAACATATAGCTTTGGATTCTTATATTTGCCTAAATAAATTTATTTTGATAGGTATTTATAAAGTTCATGTCAAATTAAAAAATTTTAACCTTTAAGGACATTTCCTTTACCTACTTAGGGACCCTTTTAATTTACAAAGGGGCCTCTGTTACCCCAGGTGGCTCAATAGTATCCTAGCTCTTCCCTAATACTACTGTCCTCTTATCTTGCATCACCAAAACTACTGGCCCCAGATCCCTATCCTTGTTGCTCCTCCATTAAATCAGAAGGGCTCAAGAAGGTCAGGACCACAACAAACACCTCAGAACTATAGTTGAGCTACATATAGTTGAGTTAAGTGGGTTAAATTTAGAGGTTGGTTTGGTAACATGATTTATAATGCTTTTTTTTTTTATCGGAAAATAGGTTCCTCAACTCCAAACAATTAACAAACTAGCCTTCAGAACACAAACTTGTCATAAGTTTCAAACTGCATATACATATGCATATTTCAAAGTATGTACATCTGAATAAACATTAACCCTTTTTTCTTTACTTTTACTGAATTGTTCATTGTACTATCACATTTCAAAATTCATTTACGCAGGAATTGACTTTGAAAATGCACATCACATGGTAAGGCAGATTCTGGTGATGATCAGATTTATTAATGATGGTTCAGTGGCAAACCTAGGAAGTCTTATATGAACTGATGCAAAGTGAAGTAAGCACAGCCAGAAGAAAATTCTACATAGTGACAGCAATATTGTAATAATGATCAACTTAACTACTTTGATCAAATCAGGGATTCAAGACAATTCCAAAGGACTCATAATGAAAAATGCTATCCAACTCCAGAAAAAGAACTGATGAACTCTGAGTGAAGATAGAAGCTTATTTCTTTTTTCTCTTTCTTTTGCAACATGGCTAACATGGAAATATGTTTAGCATGACTTCACATGTATAATGGGTATCATATCGGTTACTCTCTCAATGAGTTGGAGAAGGACTGGAGGAAAGGAGAGAATCTGGAACTCAAATTTTTTAAAAAAAATGAATGTTTAAAAATATACTTTCTCTCCCCTACTCCCACCCCTTTTCAGTTTCCTTATGTGTATTGCCTGCCCCTATTGAAATCTAAGCTCCTTGAAGGTTGGGGCTTTTTCTTATTTATCTCCCTAGTGCTTAGCACAGTACCTGGCATAGAGTAGGCACTTAATAAATGTGTCTTTCTTGTATTGTAATGCAAACACAGCATGTGACAGGTAATAAATACACCTGGGTATATGTATATGTATATTTATATAATCTGTTTGCAAATAAAGACCTATACATAAAAACATCTATCCACAATGATGACATTTTACCTGAAAATTATAAGGCATATAAATATATGCCTTTTCATCTCACCACATGCAATTGTGTACTGCTTTATGAGTATGCTAGAGATATACTAAGGGGAAAGATCAAAAGAACTAAGAGGAACAGTTTATAATAAAGAAAAAATTCATCTGTATTCATCTGTATTTATTGCTGATCATTCAAACTCAACAGGTCCCAAACTCAATTTATTATTCTCCCTCCCTAAATTACTTCTCCTAAATTCCCTATTTCTGTTCACATAAAATCATCTTTCAGTTACTTAGTCTGAAGAGTTTAGTTCTATTTGTTTCTATTTTCTATATCCACATTTAATTAGTGGTCTAGCCCCATCAATTCTACCACAGTGACATTCTTGTGCCTACCTTTCTATCACTGATCTATCATGATCTCGGATCATGACTTTATTAATTTCACCATGACTATGGCCATGTCCTCTTAAATGATTTTCCACCTTCCATCCATCTAAAATACTAAGGTCAGGTTAATTTTCCTAAAATGAAGTTCTGATAATATGCTCAAGTGTTAAAAAAAACTATCACTGGCTCCATACTGCCGTCCAAATAAAGTCCAAGCTCATTAGGGTGGAATTAAAAGCCTAACTTGGCCATAATTTACATTCTAGCCTTGTCTTCTAATATTCCTGGAAAAATGTTCCAAAAACATCACTTTCATGTTATGCTTCAGAACCAATCAGAACCTGCAGCTGAATCTAAATTAATGTATTCAGGGACCGTTAGAAAAGGAAAGGTCCTTAGAGATCTAGTCTAGCACACTCATTTTACAGATGAGGAAAGTAAGGTCTTCGTCAACTTAGATAACTTGCCCTAGTTCACAGAGTTAGTGGCAGAATTCATCTTCAAAACTAGCTCTCCTGAATCTTGTCTCATTATGGACTAACCCAGAGGTTCCCAAAGTGGGTGATACTACCCTCTGGGGAGCACTGGATGGGGGGGGGGCAGTAGTAGCCTCAGGTGAAACTGGGGGACGTTGAATAAAAATAAGGGGGCCGTGGAAGCATAAGGAAAGAAGACAAGATAAGAAAATTTTGAAAAACCATACAGGTTTCATTTGTTGTGTAACAGAGGTAAAGTCATAATGATTACATTATTTTCCAAATAAACACACAAAATGCAAGTTACAACCGATCAGTTGGTCAAGTCCACCAACAGATCTTAACAACCAAGTGTTAAAAGGTGAGCATGTTGCACATTGTCAGGAAGGACTGGAAAGAATATGTGCTTGCAAAGACTTGTTTACAATATGATACTATACAGTTACATGACACACTATTGTGTCATCAAAATTTCAGTGCAGGAAAAAACCCCACAAATTCACAATAAATCATTAAATTTGAGCTGCATCATTTTTTTTTTTCAGGAAGATGTTCAGCAATCTTATGAGACAGAGCCATGCATTTTCAGAAATGAGAGCTGTTATATCTCTATCAGAATTGCCTGAGTCTAGAACAGTTAATATCTAATACTGTAATAATGTTAGCAAGACCAATAGCACTGCTGGGCTTCCCTCTGCCTGAAAGGTATTGTGAGGTACTATGGAAGAGGGGGGAACAAAAAGATAATGAGATACAGAAATCTCCTTGGAGAGCCAGAGAAATAGACTGGAAAGCCATTTATTTAGACTTTGATAGACAATGTTGGCTAGAGGAAAGGAAAGGAAACAGATGATCCCAGAGGTTCTTTTTGGGTCTATGATTCTATAATGACAATTTATTATCATTGTTAAATTAGCCATATACATGAAAGCAAGACTTAGTCAGTGATTCAGAATATAAGACAAGAAAAAGATTTTTCATATTCATTTAGTGCAATATTACAGAGAACATAATTCTTCTTTTATTAAATGCAATAAATAATGAAGATGTTATTTCACTAGCAATTTAATTATTAAAATAATGGAATTTTTGCTTTGGTTACTTATTACCCATTAACAATAAGTTGCCATTAATAAATACAGCACGCTAAAATTTGCAAAGCCCATAAGACGCATCATTAACTCATTTGATTTTTACAGTTCCAAGAGGTCAGTACTAGACCAGTATTATCTTCATTTTTCAGGTGAGGAAAGTGACCCTGAGAGATGGTAAGTGACTTTGCACATGATCACAGGGTAGAAAAGGTTAAAGATATAATTCAAACCAATTCTCTCTCACCTGACTAGACTACAAGACAAGCACTTATTTCTGCAACACACTCCCTCTTGGGCAAAGTACCATCTCTTCAAAATGGATACCTCAAAAAACAGTATATTTTTTAGGAATTATATCTTTATACTTGAATGTGTTCACCATATACTTGATGAAACATTCTTCTTTTACAATTAACTTTCCCAATTTCCATTAATAATAATTTCCATAATGAACTAAAAGCAGGACATTGAATGAGATGTAACTATTAAGATATGATGGCATTATTAGGCTTAAAGTTATTTTTAAATTTATTAACATGAATTCATTTATTCAAAATTATTTAGTGCTTACTATATATGCCTGAAGCTTTGCTTAGTGTTGTCTGAAAAACAAAGATTAAAACAAGATCTCTATCTCCATGCAGCTTATGTTCTGTTAGAAATCATAATTTGATTCAGCAGACTGATGAAGAGATTGGGAACAGAGACAATCTCCAATTTATGAACAAATTGTGTTCCAAAAATTTACATAAAAATTGATTGTTCAAAAATAATTTCCCCAAAGAAATATGACCAAGACCAAGACAAATAACCTATTTAATCCATCATGTATAACTAATATAGTGCAATGAGTTTTATACAACATAACCATCATATAATAAAATGTTTCTATGGGAAAAATGGGTTTAGGGTAACAATTTAGGAAGCCAGACCCACCAGAGTCCAAAGAGTGAAATAAGACTCTTTTATTCTGCCCAGCTCTGTCACTGGCCTGCAATATGTCACTTGGCCAACATCAAATAATGAGTTAGGGACAAAACTGGAAGGAAAA